GTGTCAAAAAACCGACCCATTGATTGACACCCTAATTCGACTGCGGAGGATGGAGGTTGAGACTTTTGGGGGAACTTGTGTACCCAAAATAGGTTGTTAACAAATTAGCAGGGCCCAGAATGAGGGATTAAATTTGGATTATAGAATAGGTACAGTCCCTTAGCAGGAGATGCTAAATCAACGGTCAGAAAGCATGACATGACAAAATGATTTTTGACTTTGACTTCGACATATTGCCTTCGCCTCCGACTCTGACTCGGAATTAGAGGGTCAAAAGCGTGTAGCATGGGCAGGACTGGAGCACAACATTGTCTAACTGACGGTTGGATTGGAATCCACTTCACTCTACCTGACCCAACCACCTTGACCTACCTAGGAATGGATTTCCATAAATTTGAAGTTACACTCAAGTCGCGCCGGTCGGATTGGAATCCACTTGGCTCTCAGGATTTAACCTTGTATTGGCATCATAACTTCCTCTGGTACCAATCCAACGGGTCACATGTTTAGCTGAAGCAAAGGAACACCAAACTCCGAGTCTTTTTACGTCTTTCTCCCTTTGAGTTTCAGGCTTTCAGCCACTCTGAGAGAGAGAGAGAGATGGAATGGGCGACGGACATTCTGATTCAGGTCGTCTTTCTGCTGCTGACGCTGGGGATGTACCTCGTGATGCAGAACTTCCCCAAACAAGCCCTAGCAAAATTCAGGCTAAGGGGACGAGCCAACGTCCAAGCAAAGCGCCACTTCGTGCACGGGGCTCAGCTCTTGGCCCGTGCTCGAACCGCGCGCAGTCGAAGCAGCTGCATCTCCCTCGCCAAAGAAGCCACCGACGAGGCTGATAAGGCCCTCTCCCTCGACCCCAAAGATGCGGCCGCTCACATTCTCAAAGCCCTAGCCCTCGATCTCCAGGGCCACAAGACATCTGCCCTCAAATCCCTCGACGCTGCGCTCTCTCCGCCCGCCGTCAAGTCCCTTACCGATCGCGAGCGAGGGGATGCGCTCTTCAAGCGCGCCGAGCTGCAGGTCGAATTGAATCGCCGGCGCCGGGTCGACTCGGCGGTTTCAGATCTCGTGGAATCGGTGAATCTGAGCCCTGAGAATTCCAAGGCGTTTTGCCTTCTGGGGCAGTGCTACGAGCACAAGGAGATGAGGGAGGAGGCCAGGAAGGCTTACGAGGACGCGATTCGGGTCGATCCCAATTCTGCCGCGGCTCGCGAGGGTTTGGACCGTCTGGCGTCTCAGTGAGTGAATGTGGATTGTGAAGAACAAGATGCTCGGATCAATTTTTAGTTGGAGGTATCTATTTTAAATTTCACAACTGCCGATTGTGTTTGGTGGTATCCATTCTTCCGGGGCTTCGCACTCCATGATCACTCTTGTACCTCATATATGTATTATTTTGTTTCAGTTTCTGGTGAAACAAGTATCTATCTTGGAAATGTAGCCTGTAACTTTCTTTCTGGAAAATCATAGAAAACTGGTTTGACTAGATGAAGCCTTTTGATTTGCTGGAGAAGATAGATTGCAATCTCCTCAGGGACTGAGAAATTTCATTCTCTCCCTCACCTGTATTTCGCCTATAACTACAAATTTTCCATTTTCTTGTTAACTTACCTATTAATCCCTGATGAAGGCAGATTTCCAGGTCGCGCGGCTAAACTTTTTATTTTTCAAGTATTCTATGGATTTTGATTAAAACATTTAATTTATAAATTACAAGTAAGTTGTAATTTTGGATGAAGAATTGAAGATTAGGGGAAAAGTAAAATTGTTATAAAAAGAAATAACCTTTGAAGGTGAAAAGTAAAATTGATATAGAAATACAAATATGAAGAGTACAAATACATACAAAATAATACAAAATACAAGGTTTTGCACTCTATATATTTGTGTATTCCTTCTAAAAGGAGCATTAGGCTGCGTTTGGCAACAGTGCAAATAGAGTGTACAGAGTGCGTTTTGGTCCATATATATATATATGTGCAAAATTGGATTGGTTTTGTTGTGACAAATTACTTTTTTATCAAACAATTTTTAGCTGTAATAAAACATGGCCTTATTTTTATCCATTTTAATCTATTTTAGAATTTCATTTTGGGTAAGAATGAAAAATGAATCAAACATGACCTTACTTTCCTATCAAACAATTTTTAGTTGTAATGGATGCAAACAGAACCCCAATGAAGTAATGTACCTTTTTAAACAAAGGGAAAATTCCTTATCAGTACTATGAACTTTTTAGGGGTTATTTCAAGTCAATCTCTGAACTTTAAAATGTGTTTATGCAGTACCCGAATTTTTAGAATCTATTTAAAAGGTTCCTACTGTTAACAGTTTGTCAATTATCTGTATCACGTGATGACATGTACCACTTAAAACTTTTGAAAATATCAAAACTACCCTTCAAATACAATACTATTCATTGTCTTCTACCTTGAAATAAGACATCATTCATTACAAAAACAGATAAAATGCAAAGAAACAATTGATATTCTGAATAGTTAAACAAATTCACATTATTGAAAAACAATGAGAAATCACCAGAAATATGAAAGGAAATGGGGGGATGCTGCTGCTATGAAACCACAAAAAAGAATTCATCATTTCCAATCTTTAAAATCAAATCCTTGAACTTACGTTAGATTCTCCCTATCAACGGATGACGATTAGTTCATTATTGTTGTGAGAACTTGCAACTAAGGTGGCGTTTGATAACACTTTTCAGACCTCTGAAGTCTGAAAATGTTGCTTTTCAGATGTTAGAGGTGTTTGGAAGTGTATTTAAATTTGGGACTGAAAATAATTTTTAGATATGAAATAATAAGACATGGGTCAGGCGTTGAACGCGTTCAGATGCGTTTCAAACATGGTCGAAAGTCTGAAATACCCTTGAATTCTCGCTTCTCTCCTTTCTTCTTTTTCTCTCTCCGTTGCAACTGAATAGTCTAATTTAGGGGTAAAATAGTAAAAATAGTGAATTTCAGATGTTGAAGGTTTGATCCAATACAAACAACCTTCTTTATTCAGAGGCTCTAAAAAGTCAAAAGACAAAAATGCCTCTTTTCAAATTTCAAACCCTTTTAGTATCTTTTCAACTTTTCAGATTTTAGATTAATCAAACGCCATCTAAACCGGCACTAGCCTCAATTGTTCAAAACAAAGAGACTACACCTATAAACCCAATTTTGCTCCAGATATGCCCTTCTCCTCCCAAGCCCAGATTAACATAAAAAACCCAATCTTTTTGTTCTATCTATTATGAGCAGAAAACGATAAAATATTAAAACTCACTCTTCGGGTGATCAAAAGGAAGCCGTCGTCACTGTAGATGAAGTTCCCCGATGTCTATAGTGTTGTGGGTTTTGCAAGTGAACAAAGATTTGGCGATTCTATGTTGTCATAACCGATATTGATTGGGAAGACGCAGGTTCAAACATTGTCTAGTATCAATTCAATCCTCATTGATGGCATTGAATGAGTCTGTCCACCTTGTAATTTTTTTTTCTCTTTTTTTTTTTATCAATTCTTTGATGCTAACTTAAATACAGGGGCTTTTGTCTGGTCCGGTTCTTTTTGATTTAAGGACTGAATGAAGGCCAAGGTGCCAGGCCCATGATGCTAGCATTGGCCTTCTTGCATACGTTGTATCACAATTCTATGTCAAGAGTCAAGACCCAATTGGATCACAATTCTATCTCAGATAAGTTAAAGTTCTGACGAGGATGTAGTCATGTAGACTCCAATAATTTCAATTGAGCTATAATGCCTATGGAGTGTAAACTTTGGCTCTTCTCTGTGAATCCACCTAAAGTCTGTAATCCCTTGTTAGGAAAATTACTGAGCATCCTTGTGACAGTAGAACAGGGATGAGCGATGGTGTGAGTGGTGGAAAAAAAGGAGACAGTGAGGAGGGAAATCCCGGGGGAGAGGGAAGAAGAGAAGGGGAGAACATGAGAACCGAGTGAGAAATGAGAGAGGGGAGAGAGGAAACCACCACCGCTGCCATTGTCATCCATCCATAGATTCATTGTCGGTAATCGGTAATCTATCACTCCATAAGTTCAGGTAGTTTTGACATGTAAGTTCAGATAGATCAGGTAGTTTTGATTCACTCGAATCGGAAGGAGTTTTGCTTAAATTGGTTTATGTGAAAGTGGAAGATAAAGAAAATTAGATGGCACCTGATGGATAATTTTGACATTTCCAAAATTAATTGGCGGACTGTTAGCGGTAGGAACCTATTAGGCACATTCTGAAAGTTCAGGTACTACATAGACACATTTTGAAGTTCGGGGACCGACTTGAGACAACCCCTAAGGCTACGTTTGAAAACGATGCAAATAAGTGTGAATGCAAATATGTAGAGTGTAATGGATGCAAACATGAATTCCAATAAAGCATATGCTTTTTTTTTCAATCAAAAGCTCACTTGAATGCAAATTTACTTTTTTTTTTATTGATGTACTTTTACATCTTATTATCAATGTAAATTTGCATTGGTCTGTCATTTGTCAATGCATAAATGTAATGTTGCCACAGGCAAAAGTGAACTAGAGTGCAAATTTACCTTGAACCGGAATTTACACTCCATTTGTATCATTTCCATACGCAGCCTAAAGTTCAGGGTACTGATCAAGAAGCCTATTTTGAATGAAAATTTACTTCTTTTTTTTATGCAAAATTACATCTCATTTTCAGTGTAAACATGCCTTGAAAATTGTGTTTTCTGTTATTATCAATGCATAAATGCGTTCCTGCCTAACACTAGTAAAACTGAACCAGCATTTACATTCTATTCACACTGCTTCCAAATGCAGCCTTATAGGCTCAGTTTGAAAAGAGTATGAATACAAATATGTACATTATAAATACATTAAAAAAATAAGATAAAATACAAGATTTGCACTCTACATATTTGTATTTGTATTCCTTCCAAACTTAGCATTAGTAATAATCTATTGGCTGGTTATTACTAAAGGTAAATTTGTTATGGTTAGAACTTGCTTCCAGTGAGAGTGGCAGGGAGCTGGGCTCTGAGGTAAACCCGGCTTCAGTCTAGAAAGATGGCAGCCTCGGATAGGACAGAGGTAAATTGTAATGCAATGCCAGTTTTGACCGTGCCTCCTGCTGGGCTAGTGTTGCTTGTATGCTGCGCAATTCCAAAGGGGAGAGATCAAACGGATTTTGCGGTGAAAGAGTTCACTGCCAACAGCCAAACTATTCTGAGCGATACAGAAGCCAGAGAAATCCTCTTGGGGGTGCCTAAAACTGTTGAAAGCTGCTCAAGACAGAGTCCTTTTGGAGTAGGACTCGACTCAGGCCATCCAAAGTACTATTGCCTCTAGATCTCAACTTCTTAAGCCGAGTTCTCTCCACTGCACAACACTTAGTCTGGCATTTGTAGCTTTTCAGGGCGTCGCTCCACAGTTCAGTTTCCAGTTTTATAGGTGAAATGCCAACAACCTTACTTGGGAATTATTTCATGGCAAAGTTGCAACCAACCATTACTCCTTGTGGTTTGGCTCATTTATGATGGTTTGTACAACTTTGTACCAGCCTTAATGCTTGGGCATTCTATGGAGGTATGCCAAGTGACCAACTCAGCTACTGGGTCATTTGGGTTTCTCTCAGTAAAGATTATTATATACACCTTGAAGAGCCCAGATACTTTGGGCTTGGGCCCAAAAAAAATGGTACATTTTAGCAGGTTTCTTGGAAATTGAATCATTAATGTAATTGCACTGAACATGCATTCATCCCTATCCAACATGATCCAACTCAATCCCATTTAAATAATATTATATGTAATTCAATCTGTATTGCATCTATTAATAAAATTGATTTAAATGTATGCAAGGGATTGGTTTAAGTTTCATACACATTCGGATTCTTCTCCACAAAAGTTGGGTTGGGTCATAGAGTGGGCTACAAACTGGAATTCAAGGCACAAATCAATATTGTCAAATAGGAATTTTCACATGATTGAGGAAATCAGCTAATTTTGTAACAAATTTATAAATTGAAGTTGGCAAATCAATTTTTCAAACATTCCGCTACAAGTAATTGTTATATGGTAGACGGGTTGAATAGGTTTAACAGTGGAGAAGATGTTAAACTTGTGATGTATAAACTCTTATATTGTTCAAAAAACTCAAGATATTATTACAAGAAAGGGGAAAAAAGAAAAATAAGGGAACCGGGATAAAGCATGAGCGCCACTCGTTTGATTCAGTCGGTTAAACCATTTGAGTTAGGCTTGTCAATGATACTTGAAACTTTATAGTCTGATCTGATATCAAATCCGATTATTTTGGATTTAGATATTGTATTTATGTAATTGGATTGGACTTAGATTTTACAATCTGTATCCAATTAATAATCGGATTAGATTTGGATTTGACTCCACCCAATTCGATTAAAATCCAAATCCAATTATATTATAATATTTATTGATTTTAATATATAAAACTTATATAATTATATTTAATATTATATATGAATTTATATATAATAAAT